GGGGTCTTCACTCTATGCAAGAGTTGAGGTGGGGCCCACATGAAGTCTGTGCAACTCACAACGAAACCCTTGTCGCCACCCTCCCAAACCTAGCCGCCACTGACCACCATCAAACCCTAACCCTCCACCCTCAGCCGACATGCCTAATCGCCTCCAACCCTGACCATTGTTCAAAGATATTGTTCATCTGTGACACTGTTCATCTCCCCCGATCGGATCCTGACCGAAGCAGTAACTTTGTTACTGGTCATCAGTGCTGTTACTGTTCATCAGGAACGCTGTTCATCCATCGTTTGACATACTTTGTGATTGGTATAGTGGAAAACTGGTTTGTATTCGTTCAGTTGGTTTACTTTGATGTTTGGTTTAGTGAAAATTATTTGGTTGGTCCCTAAAGAATGATCATTTGTTGTTGGATCCTTCAAGAATGATCAAATACCTGAAGAGGATCGTTTGTTTGGTGGATCCCCGAGAGGATCGATTGATGGATCCCTGAAGATGATCATTTGTTTGGTGGATCCCAGAGAGGATCATTTGTTGATGGATCCCTAAAGAGGATCATTTGTTTGGTGGAGCCCTAGAGGGGATCAGCTGATTTGAAGACATTCAGGTGAAAGATAAGAATATCAAAGACTATTTTGAGTTTTTGAAGCATCTTCACAGATCAGAGTATGTGCACTTTATTTGTAACAAGTTGAACATATATAATATATATGCTTAGCTTGAGGGGGAGTGTTGATAGTTGTTTCTTTATGTATGTTTGGTCCTACATTGGTTAGGGACAAGCCTCTTTATATTTATGATATTATAAATAACATCCAAGAGAGAGAACTAATAATCCTCTCTGATTACTATTTTCAACACAGATATAGCAGGATGAGATATGGCCTTAACAAGGATATGTGGCAAACAAGAAGAAAAATTCTAGTGTACCAGAGGAAGGCATGAGAACAGCAATCTAGAAAGGATAATTAGGTTGCATTCACCTGACCTAGAGGAAAGAACGTCAATGTCCATGGATATAGATTAAGAACTTGAATTTGGCTACAAAGCAGCAAAAAGATATTCAGTTTTCATTGTTTAATGGTATTAATTGTTAATAGGTGTGCTTTGTTGATGTAAACCTGCAAGATAACTTGTGTTCTCTAAAATCTATTGAAGCCTGAAACTTTCATCTGCTTTTTTCTATGCGCTTTTCCTTTTCTTTTGAAAATATTTTAAGATTTTCTTTTTCATAAACATTTTCCTTCGACACAGATCTGACACCTCATTACACATCTGAAGTGATTTTTTTACTGAATGATAAAATATTCTATGGATGACAAGTAGTGGAGGAAAGTTAATAAATGTCATTTCATTTGTGGAATGTTCTAGTTATGTGTATATGAACCTCTATACTTTTAACTTTGCTAAAAGGCGTCACCAGGATTGAAAGAGTATCCACAAATTTCAGGTTCAGATATGGATGGACTTACCAAAGCATGATCCTTTGTATTCGTCAAAATTAGGAATTCTTGCTAAACACTGGTTTCCTTCAAGCCCAGAAGCCAATGATCTCAATTCTTCAGGGTGTTCCTTCCTAATCAGGTTTGTATTGATTATTCTACTAGATTCTTAAGTTCTAGTCTTGTTGAGTGATGTATAGATTGCTCAACGTGTTGGGCAGCCACAACTGCATTAGATTTCATAAATTGAAGTATGATTTTTTGCATAACAAATACATAGGATTAACTCCTGCATGATAGTTACCTATCTTAGGTTGCTTCATGTGCAAATAAATAGATAAACTTGCTCCACCGCTTAACATGCCACATTTGCAGATCATCATTGCCAAACATTGTTATAGTCTCTACTAGAAAAAATATATCTAGGGTTGCAGGGAGTTTAAATTCCCCATAAGACAATTAGACTTGGCTGGAAGAATATAAGATCTCGAAACATTTTCATTTTCAATATAGATGTAAACAAGTAATGATGGAACTATTTCAAGTAGTTGCGATGAGCATATTCTTTTGCAAGATGGAGTCATTTAGAGTTCCAAAAATAGGAAGGAAAAAAAGAAAGGTAGATATTTTTATGAGTGACCAATGTCCTAAGCAGAATAGTAATTTGATTATGATACATTAATATTTCTTTTCGTGAAAGGAGCATCTTATACCTATATTTCATGGCAAACATTGTTATAGTCTCTACTAGAAAAAATATATCTAGGGTTGCAGGGAGTTTAAATTCCCCATAAGACAATTAGACTTGGCTGGAAGAATATAAGATCTCGAAACATTTTCATTTTCAATATAGATGTAAACAAGTAATGATGGAACTATTTCAAGTAGTTGCGATGAGCATATTCTTTTGCAAGATGGAGTCATTTAGAGTTCCAAAAATAGGAAGGAAAAAAAGAAAGGTAGATATTTTTATGAGTGACCAATGTCCTAAGCAGAATAGTAATTTGATTATGATACATTAATATTTCTTTTCATGAAAGGAGCATCTTATACCTATATTTCATGGCAATAATGGGTATGGAAATAACATGATTTTGGTACATATTCGTTTGTAGCATTGGGCATCTAGTGAAGATTTGAACTCTAGAACTTTTGACAATCAATGGAGAAAATTTCCTCCCATGACAACTGATATCCATTATTCTTGCTTTTTTTTTTGCTTTTCCATAAGTTAAGTACGTTGTCAATCATTTACTTAATAAAATTCACACGGAGCTTTATGTCACCAGGGAAGTCAAATCGCCTAAAGCCAAAGGGAAAGGCATTCCTCAAGCACTTCGTGCATATACTCGGATTTTGTCTATCACATCCCATGAAGGTTTTTGTTTCTTCTTTTCATCACAGAGTTATTTTAGATATTCTCTAAGATAATAGGGTCTTCTTACAATTTGTTGATGAAATTCTCATCTCCAGAGCTGGAAGCTTTGGTAATTGAGGCTGCTGAGAATGATGGTCGACTCGCTAGGCTCCCTTTAAGAAACACAGAAAGTGAGATCCATGCCCATTCTATCTTGCTGTCACAATTTACTCATTTGATTCAGGAACGTGATGCTGCTGTAAAGGTAAAGTTCATATAGCTTTCGCAGTTTTGTACCAACTAGTGAAAATAGGTCTTCAAAGTTCTGGTATTGCCGCAATTTTATGGCCCCTTAATAAAACGTAAGCACTTCCTAAGAAACCGATAAAAGGACCCCCTCCACAGAAAGGAAGGAAGAACACCTAGAAAGCATCAACTATTTTCCTACTGCAATGGTTTCATATGTATGGGTGCCTAAAATTTTCTAAAAAGGTGCAAAGCTTAAAAGTAATGGTTCACTATTTAATTTGTTCTTCCTTCATGCTTAAAACTTATTCATAGCCATATCTACACCATCGGATAATTTACACATATTTTCTGTTTCTTATGGACCTTTTTAATGCATGTATATCGTAATTGGCCATTATGCCAGAGATATTAGTTTACCAAATATAATATTTTTTATATAGTCCAGGCCTACTCATTACTAATCCCTCTTGTTAAAACTTTAAATCCTTTATGAGCTCATCGAATATACTGTTAACTGTTAACAACAAAAGATTTTGAGCAGTTTACCCTTGTATTTTTATGCTCTTCAGAGAGGAATTCTCTCTTCCTTCCTCTCTAACTGAACACGTGTCCATCTTTCTTCATTCTCTACCAACTTCCCTTTTCTTCAGATTAGAAAAGGATTAGCCCCGTATAATAGAAAAAGCAACATGAAGAAACTCCTGTTCTTCGTCTTTGATAACCAAGCCAAACCGACAATTTTAGCATTCAACCTGAAATAATGCACAAACAAAGAACTATATCCAATGATTCCAATCCACCTTTTCCCTCTTCTGATCGCCAGTGGCTTCTATTTCATCATTGATTGCCCTTATTGTCTGGCGGTTTCTGTTAATTTAAGGTTAATCAAATATTAGAATAAGACGAAACAGAAAGAAAAATAGTTGATATATGATAGAGGAGGATATTAGGTCAATAGACATAGAACTAGAAGTTAGAGAAGCAAATAAAAAGCATGTTTATTATTGTTATTTTTTGCCTGTCAAGAACCATTGCCTTTCATTCGTTTTGCTCCTCTTAAATTTTTCATGCCACGTATTATTCATCTGAAGCATCAATCTAGAATATGTGGCATACAAATTATGAAATGGAGAGTCTTGTGATACCCCAAGATCTAGTCCCACATTGGATATTGATTGAGTGATTGAATGATTTAAATTGGTGGATATTGAGAGCCAAATGTAACATTGACTCAATTTTGACAGTGAATTGAGCCAAACCATGTGTTGCACTTCGTGAGTCCCATCACTTACATTGTGCTAATGGGCTCGGTGGCCCGAAGCATGACAAATGATACTAGTGCAGTTACCTAGCCGTAATTGTGAAGAAAAGTGCTATGCGGGACTAAGTGCTACACTGCATGAATGCGGTGAGAGCCACCTCTAGAAGCCCATAGGAGCTACCTTTAGAGTCAAACATCACCTGACAGTGATATTGGGATGGACCAATCCTCGTACTGCAACGAGGACGTCACGCAATTAAGGTGGGGTGTTTTTGTGAAGCGGTATTGCACGTGAAGAGTTCACGTGGCCTTGGGCCCACCCGAACCGAAACATGTGAAGTGGGAGTTTTTTTTCTTTCCGCGTGAAACCGCTGCATATCTTTCCTATAAATACCGAGGCATTCTCTTCCTAGGGTTTAGTGCAAGGTTGGGATTTGTTTTTTTGCGGCTGACTGCGAGAGAGCAAAGTGCAGAGGGTTTTTGTGTTTTGCGGCTACAACAAATATTTGAGTGCAGGAGATTTTTTCGGTTGCGGTGCAAAAGAAAAGAAAAGAAGAGGCTTTCCTTTTAGGGTTTTTTTGTGCATCCCTTTGAGAGGTATTTGTGAGGGATTTGAGAGTTTGTGTGAGGGTTTAGATTGTGAGTGATTGTAAACCCTACTTGTATTCTCTCTCTCTATTAGTGGATCTCCCCCCTCCTTGCCCCGTGGACGTAGGCAATTTGCCGAACTACGTAAAATTGGTTGTCTCGCTATTTGTGTGATTTGTAATAGCTTTTAGGTTCCCTCGACGCACAGTCCTAGAGCTGACGAGAGGAAGAACTAATATCTCACTTTGATGAGATATTAGGCGTCAGATTCTTGTTCCCTTTGAGAAACAAGAATTCTTATTGCGACCTAACTCTATTGTTGTGCCGAGGTGTGTGTGATTTGTAATAGCTTTTTAGGATCCCTCGACAGGTCAGTCCTAGAACTGATGAGAGGAAGAGCCGTTATCTCACTTTGTTGAAATATTCGCTTCAGATTCTTGTTTCCTTGGTGAGACGGGAATTCTTATTACAATCTGACTCTCTTGTTGTGCTGTCGAAGTGCTACCGAAATTTTCGCTGCGCGCAACAAGTGGTATCAGAGCCCAGATTTCAGATCTAGGGTTTTGGAGTTTGAATCTAGGGTGTTTTGGATTTGGTGGAGGAAGATTTTGTGTGAAGCTTGGTTCTTGGAGTTCTAGGCTTCAGTGGAGATAACATTAGGAGTTACCGTTGAAGATTTCGCTTTCCTCGTGTGGATAGGAGATCTATTTGGAATTCGATCTAGGGTTCAGTTGGGTGGTTCCTAATTCCTATCAAATTTGTTCTTTCTCTACAATTTGGAGTTAGTTTGTAATGGGAGAAGAAGGTGAAAGCAGCAAGTCGATGGCGAGTACAATACAAGTTGGTTTTCAGAACACTAAGATTAGTGTGGTGAAGTATGACGGTAAAATCAACTTTGGTTTGTGGATGAGCGACTTACAGGATGCGCTCAATGCTCAGAATTTGAAAGAGACCATCATGGTCCACGAAAGGCCACCTAAATATGAAGAGACAGTATGGGAGAAGATGAATAGGAACTCTTGTGGGGTGATCATGTCCTGTTTGGAACAGGAGCTGAAATATGATGTGATTGGGTTGACGTCTGCAATGAAGATGTGAGAAATTCTCAACAATAAGTATCTCACAAAGAATGTTGAGAACAGGTTGCACTTGCTGCGAAGACTCTTCAGATTTCAGATGTTCAGAGGCACCTCACTAGCGGCTCATGTGAACAACTACACTAAGTTGTTGTCGGACTTGGCGAATATTGATGAGAAGATATCGGATGAGTACAAGGCGATTATTTTGTTGGGCTTCTTACCGGATGAGGAGTATGATACCTTCGTGCTCACTTTGTTGAACGGGAGATCTTCTTGACTTTGAGGAGGAAGGACAAAGAGACTTCCCGCGCTAGTACTTCAGGAAAGGCCTTGTCAACGAGAGGTAGAAGCCCATATCCGAAAGGTGGTAATAGAGGAAGGTCAAAGTCAAGAAGCCGCCACCAATTAGCAAAGAACCAATGTGCATTCTGCAAGGAGCAGAGACATTGGAAGCTCAAAGAGAAGGAGAATAGCAAGAAAAAGGGCCCGAAGGCCAATGAGGTGAACATTGCGAAAGGCGATGATTCCGATGATTCGTGCTTTTCTCTACTGATTACTCCGGAGGTGAACCATGTGGATGCATCAGATTGGATGCTTGATTCCGGCGCTACCTTTCATGTGACCCCTAGGCGAGACTGGTTTGCATCTTTTGAGAAAGTCGACGGGGGCGTTGTTGTCATGGGAAATGATCAATCCTGTGGCGTTTGTGGGATAGGTACCGTGCGGATTAGGATGCACGATGGAGTAGTCCGTGAGTTGAAGGAGGTGAGATTTGTTCCTCAACTGAAGAAAAATCTTATCTCAGTTGGAGCTTTGGAGGCGAAGGGATTCAAGGTGACTTTCGAAAACGCTGTAGCGAATATTACTAAGGGATCATTGGTGGTGATGAAGGGAGTCCGTAATCGGAATTTGTATTATCTGAAGGGAAGCACCGAGATTGGCCAGGTTGCTTCGGCTATTTCAAAAACGGACATAAGCAGACTTTGGCACTATAGATTAAGGCACACAGGTGAAAAGTCACTGCAGGCATTGTGCAAGCAGGGGCTATTGAAGGGAGCCAAGAGTGAGAAGATTGAGTTCTGTGAGCATTGTGTTCTTGGCAAGAAAACGAAAGTGAAGTTCGGGACTGCCATTCATCAGACGAGGGGCATCCTGGACTACGTGCACACAGACGTTTGGGGTCCCACCAAGACTGCATCACTTGGTGGTAGACATTGGTTCGTTACTTTTGTAGATGACTATTCTAGGCGTTGTTGGGTGTACACCATGACGAAGAAGAGTGAAGTCCTAGATTTATTTGTGGAATGGAAGAAGAGATTGGAAATACAGACTGGGAGAAAGATCAAGACGTTACGATCCGACAACGACGGCGAGTACACATCAGACCCCTTTCTACAGCTATGTCGAGACGAGGGCATAGAGAGACACTTCACAGTTAGTCATACACTGCAGCAAAATGGGGTGGCAGAGAGGTTGAATCGGTCTTTACTGGAGAAGATCCGATGCTTATTGTCGCAGAGTGGTTTGGAGAAGATCTTTTGGGCTGAGGCACTTACATATGCGAGCCACCTCATTAATAGGCTGCATTCATCTGCGATTGAGGGGAAAACCCCTATGAAGATGTGGTCGGGAAAGCCAGCACATGACTATGACCAGCTCAAGGTATTTGGGTGCCCTGCATATTATCATGTTAGAACTGATAAATTAGAACCTCGAGCTAGGAAGGTCATATTTGTAGGATTCAAGCGTAGTGTCAAGGGATACAAACTTTGGGATCCAGTGGATAAGAAAATTGTGCTGAGTAGGGATGTCACATTCGATGAGGTTTCTATCTTGAAGCTTCCCAGCTCTCATCAGGTGGAGAGCGACCCGACGGAGGAGATATCGCAGGTGGTGGAGATCGATGCAGCTCCACATTATCCAGATGGTACAGTATCCATGCAGGTGCCGACTAAGGTGACGCTAGGCGAGCACGACGGTGACACGGAGGATACGAGTACAAATGTGCAGGATCAGGAACCGACGGCTCAGGTGAGCACGACGGTGACACGGAGGATACGAGTACAAATGTGCAGGATCAGGAACCGACGGCTCAGGTTCAATATTCTATTACGGTTCGGAGACAGATGAGAAACATACAGATGCCAGCACGGTATGCCGACACAGTTGCGTATGCACTTCCGGTGGAGAGTATCGATGAGTTGGTGCCTACTACATTCAAAGAGGCCGAGCAGAGTTCGGAGGCTGATTCGTGGCAGGTGGCTATGCAGGAGGAGATGGAATCTCTTCATAAGAACGATACATGGGAGCTTGTTGAGCTTCCAAAGGGGCGGAAGGCAATTGGTTGCAAGTGGGTATACACGAAGAAGGAGGGCATTGAGGGCACTCCATTGAGGTTCAAAGCTAGGTTGGTTGCGAAGGGCTATGCACAGGAGGAAGGTATTGACTATAATGAGGTTTTCTCTCCGGTGGTGAAGCATTCTTCGATTCGGATTTTGCTAGCTTTGGTGGCACAGTATGGTTTGGAGTTAGATCAGTTGGATGTGAAGATGACATTTCTTCATGGTGATCTTGATGAAGAAATATATATGACTCAGCCATTGGGATTCCGAGCTGCAGGGAAAGATAAGTTGGTTTGCAGGTTGAAGAAATCGCTATACGGTTTGAAGCAGTCACCTCGACAGTGGTATAGGCGATTTGATGGTTTTATGATTGGTCATTCGTACACTCTGAGTCAGTTTGATCCTTGCGTATATTTTCGCAAGTTAAAAGGAGGTGCGTACATCTATTTGTTGTTCTATGCCGATGACATGTTAGTTGCCTCTACTTCTAGGTCGGCTATAGATGAGTTGAAAGTTCAGCTTTCAAATGAGTTTGAGATGAAGGACTTGGGTGAGGCGAAGCGCATTCTAATGATGGAGATCGGCAGAGACAAGAAGAAGGGCATAATTTGTTTGACACAGGTGGCTTATTTGAAGAAGGTTCTACAGCGATTCTATGTTAGCATGGATACGAAGCCAGTTAGTGTACCATTGGGAGCCCATTTGAAGCTTTCAGCTTGTCTTTCACCGAAGTCAGTTGAAGATCGGGAGTTAATGTCGAAGATTCCATATGCGAGTGCGGTTAGAAGCTTGATGTATGCAATGGTATGTACGAGATTGGATTTGTCACAGGCGGTGAGCATGGTGTCGAGATACATGCACGATCCAGGAGTGGGTCATTGGGACGCTGTGAAATGGATTTTGAGGTACATTCGAGGTACGCTCAATGTTGGTTTGGTTTATGAGCGGGACACTAAAGGTGGGTAGTTATGCATTGGTTATGTTGATTCGGATTATGCCGGTGATTTGGATAAGCGTCGGTCTACGACGGGGTATGTGTTCACTTTGACCCGTGCGTCGGTGTGTTGGAGATGCACCTTACAGTCTACAGTGGTTTTGTCTACGACGGAGGCAGAGTATATGAAAGTTACGGAGGCTGTGAAGGAGGCTATTTGGCTTCGAGGACTTTTGGAGGAACTTGGTATATCGCAGAGGTCCGTCACTATTCATTGTGATAGCATGAGTGCTATCTATTTGGCGAAGAATCAGGTTTTTCATGCGAGAACGAAGCACATTGACGTTCGTTATCACTTCGTTCGGGATGTTCTTGAAGATGGCGATGTGGAAATTGTGAAAGTCCACACGAAGGATAATCCGGCAGATATGCTCACTAAGGTGGTTCGAGCAACAAGTTTGATCATTGTCGAAACTTGTTGCATATTCGTGATTGTTGAGGCCGTTGGCGACCATTTGGGTGAACTACGTTCGGCTTGATTCCTTGGGCAAGAGGATACGTAGGCAGTCTTTCAGATGCAGCCGATTTGGTGAGTTGATACCGATATTTAGAGAGTGTTTGCATTCTCGTTTGGGTCTCGAAGTGAGACATTTGGTTTGGTTGATGTCGGCTCAGTTTTGGAAAAACTTCACCGAGGTAAAGAATTGTGAAGCGGTATTGCACGTGGCCTTGGGCCCACCCGAACCGAAACATGTGAAGTGGGAGTTTTTTTCTTTTCGCGTGAAACCGCTGCATATCTTTCCTATAAATACCGAGGCATTCTCTTCCTAGGGTTTAGTGCAAGGTTGGGATTTGTTTTTTTTTTTTGCGGCTGACTGCGAGAGAGCAAAGTGCAGAGGGTTTTTGTGTTTTGCGGCTACAGCAAATATTTGAGTGCAGGAGATTTTTTCGGTTGCGGTGCAAAAGAAAAGAAAAGAAGAGGATTTTCTTGTAGGGTTTTTTTGTGCATTCCTTTGAGAGGTATTTGTGAGGGATTTGAGAGTTTGTGTGAGGGTTTAGATTGTGAGTGATTGTAAATCCTAGTTGTATTCTCTTCCTCTATTAGTGGATCTCCCCCCTCATTGCCCCGTGGACGTAGGTAATTTGCCGAACCACGTAAAAATTGGTTGTACTGCTTTTGTGTGATTTGTAATAGCTTTTTAGGATCCCTCGACAGGTCAGTCCTAGAACTGATGAGAGGAAGAGCCGATATCTCACTTTGGTGAGATATCTCACTTTGGTGAGATATCTCACTTTGTTGAGATATCTCACTTTGTTGAGATATCTCACGTTGTTGAGATATTCGCTTCAGATTCTTGTTTCCTTAGTGAGACGAGAATTCTTATTGCAATCTGACTCTCTTGTTGTGCTGCCGAAGTGTTGCCGAAATTTCCGCTGCGCGCAACAGTTTTTGATATCCAAAGATTTAGTCTCACATTAGATATTGATTGAGTGATTGAATGGTTTAAATGATGAGTCTTGAGAGCTAAGTGTGACATTGACTAGTCAATTTTGACAGTGGATTGAGCAAATCATGTGTTGCATTCCGTGGGTCCCATGACTTACATCGCGCTAATGGGCTCACAGGTCCGGGTTGTGACAGTCGTTTGCATCACAACTGGCTCATTGGAACCAACCAGTCATCCTGATCTAAAATGGATCCTCAAGATGAATGAAATTGAAATAAATCCATCAGGTTTTATAATAACGAGATTTGGAGGAAAAAATGACTGCTAGTTTAGTACATGAATGGAAAAATAATTCTACTTGTGTTCCTAACTATAGTCAAGTGAATGTTCTGGCAGCCAACACGACAGTAGGACTAACAAGTGAACCTTAGGTCGTGAGGGGTTTATTTCCTTCTACAAATCTATAAAGGAGTTAGTATTAAGAGATGATAATTTTCCAGGGTCAGTATCTCAAAAACCTCATCATATTTACGAGTGCTTCTGCTCCCCCAACATAATTTATTAGCCTTACACACCTTGAACTCCAGACGACATTATTTTCCAAGTTATGTTGAGATTTCACGTGGAATTCATGCGATAATAAACTATTATTTTTCCTTCAAAGACTATTTTGCCCTCTAAATCGAGGACAAAAAAAATATAATACCGTCTCGGATTCGGGGTGTCTGAATACTAATAAAGTTTAGTGGATATAACCGCCTATACCACCGTTGTAATATTCAGGTGTATCATCTATTAACCCTTGAATTTAACTTTGTGATTGGTAATCACATGAAATTGTTTTGGACAACTTGTTTTTTTGAGCTTTCCAGCATCACGTTATATTTCCCTTTTTATCTGTTACTGTGTAACAGGTTCTCGAGTCCATGAGCAGTCTTGATGCTATTAGCCGTGTTGCTATTAGAAAGAAGATGGCAATAGATCTCCTAAATGGAGAGATTAGAGTTCTGAGATCTGCATGTGCCTGGCTTACAAATTACTGTGCGAATCTATCAGCATGTAATGGAGGAGAGAACATTCGAAGAATTAATACTGCGCTTTAAAAGAATAAGCAACTTTTTAGTGTTATGAGATGTCATGGAGACGAAAAGCATGTTATACATTTATATTGATACTAGCAATTAATTGCCACATAATGCGGGGGGAAAAGAGCAAAACTAAAACTATATTTAAACTATTGGATAACATCTCTCAAATGGTTTCATCTCAATAATTATAAACATTGAAGGGAATTTAACACGAGATACTATTTTAGTAGAAACCAAGTTAAGAATGCAGCCGCAATCATTTGAGAAATAGTCATTTATTGCAAGAAAAATACTGAGAATCTTACTTTGATTTGATTTACATGTCACATGACATCTATATGAATCATGCAAATGGATGGGTTCAGTTTGGTGTACATCTATTCTAATGAAATGTATATGCATAGGTCAACTAACTCGCACTTTGGAAAGAGAAAGGTTTGTATGTGAATACTGTTATCATCTTGAAATATTTTAACACCGGTTGTTAACTGTAAAATTTAGTTTCAACGTTAGAGTTAAAAGCTCTTTTAAGTTGAAGATCGGCGTTGAGTGGTCTTACAGGTCAAATAAAAATTTCCATGCATCTTACAATAATTTTCATTCATTCATGTCTTGTGTTTCATGATGTTTGATGCACCAAGAACGACAATCATTGATTCATGTTGGCTTCTAAAAAATTGACGGTTCGCATCTCTTGACATGTAAGAGCTATCCTGTAGAATGGATAATGTTTGTTGAACTGAGTTTAAAGTAATGGTAATACTATTTTTAGTATTTTACTACTTGACTATCAAATAAGAATGCTACTATACCAGACTTCTAGTTCTATGGAGCCGAACTGCTATTAAGAAAACACACCCAATGACTAGTTGAAATCTTAAAAGCAACTTCAAATTGAAGCTCTCTATCAAGCAATACAAAAAATAAAAAATAAAAAAAATAAAATAAAGTAAAGGTTAGAAGAATAAAAGAGTCCTAAAATTAGCTTATTTACATGATGGACAACATGAATTGTGGAGAGAGTGAAGGATTTGTTCTTGACAGGCTGGAGACGATTGTGTATGAGAAGAAATGAGCACGTTCTATCAACAAGTCGGTATAACCCAGAAAACAAAAAGGAACAGAAAAAATAAAAAAATCGAAGTTTCATAGAACATTGAGATATCGCTTAATAATCGATTTGTCTTCTCCGCGTACTACGACTGTGTATGAGAAGAAATGACACTTCTGTTTCGTTCATTTCTGCTATAATTTCCTCATCTTTCTTACTAGGTCATAGCCTTAAGCTTGCATATTTTCCTAAAAGAAGATTAAATTGCATGAACCAATTAATCAATTCATGAGATTATTTCACCAAAAAAAAAAGACGTTTTCTCCCGGTCATCACTTTTATTTGATCAAATAACAGCGAATCAAATCTATAACTTGGCCCATATTTTTCCAGCAACACCCTCAACCCCAAAGCTGTGAGAAAAAAATAACTAATAATAATAATAATAACAGAGGTTAAGAATGGAAGACAGAAACATATCACCCCAGCTTTTAGACAATACTAGTTTTTACACACGTGCAATGCACGTGATTTAATACCATGATTAAGTATTTTTGGCAGTTTGTGCTCATTTTTTCCTTTAAACTCTTACATCCCGATTATTTTTTTATGTTTGTTTAAATGTGATACACCCAATTTAAATTTTCATGTTGATATTTGAATTGACAAAAAACAAATATAATTTAAAAATAATTTGAATTTTCATATTATTTTTGACCGATATGAAACTAAGCTTTATTTGAGAAAGTATAGCAATTGCAAAGTGAAAAATATTAAAATAGTGTTATACAAGGAAGGTGAATATTTAAAACCAATATGGCAAAATGATTGATTTAAAGTATGTTAAAACGATGCAAAAGAGAATATGAAGTTTATTCCTAATTATTGATAGACTTCATAAAAAAATATAAATTAAAGATTAATGCTAACTCTAGTATACTTTTATATGATAAAAACATCCACATAAGAATATAAAAGTACTAAAAAAAATTCATGAAACTCCCTTCTAAAGATTCCTAATTTCACTCAAAATAATTAAACTATTCTATAAAATATTCATAAAATATTATTTTTATTTCTTCTATTTTATTTTTTATTGAGTTAAGATCAATCCTTCTTCAGGTTTATCATTTATCATTTCTCGGACAATTCTAGAGTATTGTCTTCATCATCTACATCAATTGTGACATCAGGCTAATTTTGTATTTTTTATGCTATTATCTTTCCTAGGCTCGTTAATTTTTTATCATCTCATTTAACTTTACAAAGAAGTCAAATGTACTTATGATGTTCAACACAAACTGCTCAAAATATAGACTTTGATTTTTTTTCTATTTCAATGAGAATAAATATTAATTTCATATATATAAAATTCTTTGTGTTCCTAATTTATTACTTAAATAAATTAGAAGCTATCTCTTTATTTTCCTCTAAAATGAATTCTTCTGATGTGCATCCAATAAGAATTTCTGTTATTTCAATAATATTACCTTTGCTCTATCCCTGTCATTTTCCATAAAGATCTAAACTAAATACCTGCATTATTCATTACCAATTTCTCTTAGATTATAATATTAATATTTAATTTGAAGAACACAGTATGGAATTTATGAATACTTACTAATTTTTCTTATGTCTTCCATGGAGATTTTTTCTTTGATTAGGATAAAGTTATTAAATTATTTTTTAATGTAACTCATTCAGTGCTTCATTAATAGATATGTCTTATGTTAATGCCAATTCAAGTGATTCATTGACGTTTTCTGAATTTTAGATTTATTTCCATCACTTTCCCATTTGCAATGGAAATAACTCAATTCTTTTAAAGTTATCTCTAAATATTCTAATAGTTTCTCCATATGTAATTCCTTGTATTCTTTTACCCTATAAATATTATTAACGTCAAAGATTAAAGTTTCTAAATTAAAATCAATTAATGCTAAGGTATAATATTATAGTGTTTTATCATTTCTATGGATTTAAACATCTATCAATTAATGTTACGAATGTATTTTGGCTACCCCAACTTATTACTAAAATTATAATAGTAAATCCCTAAATTAGAAATTTTAATATATATATATATGAAAAATACCAAACAATTACACTTTTCTTTGCCAAGTTTTAAAATTTTAGCCCATTTTTGTGGTTTTGAACTTTGAGGGTGTGATTTATAATTTTTAAAATTTTGAAAGAGTTTTAAAAAAAATTTACTTTTAAGTTTGGTAGTTGTAAATTCTATGTTTCATGTGTTGGTGGTAATTTTTTAAATGTTAGTATATTTCTTGTAACTCTAAAATTTTGAGGGTGTCTTTTGCAATTATTAAAACTATAGATTAATTTTGAAAAATATTAAATTTCAGCGGTCTACCAATCGACGAATTTGATGTGTGCTAGTTAAAAATTTTGAAAATTTAGAGTTTTTTTACGATTTTTAAATTTTGAAGGAGTTTTTTAAAAATTTTAAGGTTAATTTTGGCAAATTTTAATTTTTTAGGTGTCTAAGGGTAATATCTTGAATTCATCTTATTTTATTTACAAATTTTAGAATTTTAGAGTGGCTTTTTATAATTTGAACTTTTGAAGGTGTTTCTATAATTTTTGAACTTTTGAATGTGTTTCTATAATTTTTGAGATATTGAGGGTGTTAATTAAAAAATTTAAATTTAAATGTCAAAAATTTTAGGTGTATCATGGTAATCTCTTGAATTCATCTGTGTTGTTTGTAAGTTTTAAAATTTTAGAATTTTAATGTGCTTGTCTGTAATTTAAACTTTTGAGGGTGTTTCTATAATTTTTGAGACATTGAGGTGTTAACTGTAAATTTTAAATTCTTTGCAAACTGATGTTAATTTTTTAATTTTATGTTTTTTATTTTAAGTTTTGAGATATTTGGATGAGTTTTATAATTTTAAACTTTTCAGGGTCTTTTCTGTAATTTTAAAACTTTTTATGGGTTTTTTGTAATACTTCATGTATTATAATATGTTATCTACTTATAATTTCTTTATCTTAACAAACTAATATCATTTTTATGTTTTATATTTTTTATTAATATTAGTTTTTTTTTAAATTGTTAAGCTAAACATGGTTCACATAGGATTAGGATAAGATATGATTATGATTAGAATAGATTAAGATATAAATAAAATATTCAAAATAGTGAAGGGTAATATTGACCATTGAAAATTAGAATTTGATTATAGATAAGGTAGTTCAAACTATAAAGGGGTATATTTGTCTAAAAAAGATTTTCCGAACTCGTGTTTTTAAAGGGAGTATGATGTTATTATTGGTTTTGATGTATAAGCTACTATTTAAGGGCACTGAAAGTAGGGAAGCTCATGAAAAAAGCAATTAACGTTGCACAGGAGAGAAAAAAAATCTTGTAGGGACAACTCATACCCATTCATGCTTACCATATCCATATCTGCTTAAGATTTGGGTACGGTTAGGATATGATGCTTATCATATCCATATATGCTTACCAGTCACAGATAAGGATACAGATATATCTCAGCAAGGAAAGTCATATCCATATCCGCTAAAATGAGATACGAATATATATGTGGATATAGATGCAGATATACAACGGATATGAGAAAACTATATAATATAGAAAAATATATTTTCTATGATATAAGGGAGTTCACAAAATGTGTTCATTGTATCTGAAAAGCTAAGATTAGATCTCTTAATCATCAAAATTAGTCTCAAATCCATTAATCCAAGTATTAAAATAATTGTAGTTGTACAACATATATTCAAATATTCCGGATACAGATCCGGATATTTCACTATACACCATATCCGTAACCATATCCTATCAGTTATTGGTTTCAATAATTATATTCATATCGTGAAAGGATATGATTATGTATATTTCAGTGTCTACAGATATGGCATAGTGTTGAGGCATTGGACTAAGAGGTTCTAGAACCAACATGTGACTATTTCACTCTGTGCTAATATTCATCCAATGAGTATTGTTTTGGACAAATTTTGAAAACCATCCTATTTACAAAAAAAATCGTAAATTCCGACCTATTCTAAAAAATTTTGTCAAAACCGATCTAGTTTCAGCCGTCTGGCTGAAACTGGGTCGGTTTTCACAAATATTTTGTGAATGGGTCGATTTTTGCAATTATTTTCTCAAATAG